AAAGACAGTAAGTGTGTCACCTGATGTCTTCTGTTTCTTGGCCTGGGGTTCCCCCACGACTTGCGCGGACACCGCCTGGACAGGTTTCGTGACCACCTTTGCCTGTGACACGCCTTTGGACCCCGCTGTCGGCGGCTGCAGTCCCGCATCCTCAAACGCTTTGCGTTTCATCTGGGTGCGGATCTGAGAGCTGGGGAGGGAAACATTCATGAAAGGTTAACTTATCAATCACAGTGCACTGCAAAATTAGTAAAAATGTCAAGGTGGTAATGGCACAGCTGTTAATTCATGTAGAAAAGGTAAGAACAAATCAAATCCATTACCAGTTTGCACAAAAAAAAAAAAAATTCTAGTAAGAGTTGAACCGCACCCGCAACACAAACAGGTTCATGTAAGTTTTATTTATTATAAGCCATAAATTCTGCAAATTAGATTTGTTACAACAAAGAAAAGAAAGAAGAGAAATTGTCGGTACAATATAAAAACCATTATATATTTACTTACCGATACTTACTTTACACCACAACAATAATGGTCCTTTAATGCTGGGAGAGAGTAAGACATTTAGAATAGAAATAACAGAAAGGAGAGAAAAGATCTACCAGGAGAGCCCCCTCCAAACACCCGCCTCTGCACACATGAGACAAAGTTATGTTTTTTCTTAGAAGAATGAACAAATATTAGTAAAAATAAAATATATCGTACTTGATTTTACTCAATATCTTTGTTTGCTTGTTTTAGTTTTAGTTGAGGTTTTACGGAGCTCGAAACTGCATAAGGTCATTTGAACGCCAGAAGACTAGAGGTGTTACAAGAGAGAAACAAACATAAAAAAGAAGAAGGGAAGATAACTCAGATAAGGACGATAGATGTTTCATAGGAAAGGAGAAGCAAACCAAACCAGAGCACCTGCCAACCACCCACAAACATATATATCGTTCCTGATTCTACTGAATAACTAAGACAGAATGCTCCACACAAAACTCCCAAAGACACAAGAAATGTTTCATGGAGATAATTTATAACTTACATTGTTCTGCTCTTGATCACATCGCTGATTTTGTTCAAATCTTCCCCAAAACGCTTGACCGCACCTCGGAGCATTTCCAGCTCTTGATCTGTCCACTTCCCTCTGAAACACACCACAAGACAGTTTGAGAGGGAGACAGCAGATCACCACGCAATCATCAGGATACGGGAAATGGGGATAGAGAGGGGAGAGAGAAGAAAGGAATGATTATCTCACTGAAAAGGAAAGACGGCCACATAATCAGACAGCCACTGGAACAATCAGTATGGATACCTCGTGGGCTTTGGTAGTGGGAGGAACTGAGCACTTATGGACCTGTCCAGTGTGCAATGACGTTGTTGCCCAGGACAAGTAATACAGGTAAATAGTTTGACTAAGTTAGCACCCAGACATACTAAAGGTTGTTTAGCACTTGAAAGACGTTAACGTCAAAACGATGTAATATGACAACAGCCACAGTTTGCGACAAAAAGATTGAGCCACATTTTAACGAAAGAATAGTTCAGAATCTAAGCAAAATGCAACTACACAGGTGTAAAAGGCAAGATGAAAAACAGTAAGCAAAGAAATGTGAGGCAGAAGGAAGAAATCAGGCGCACGTCAAAATAATGAAAAGTCAAGAAACTGACATTTTCCCACAGGTTTGGGAATTATTATCGAGTTTTTGTTTTTTGACTCAATACCTTTTGCTCTCCATAAAGAACACAGTTCTGTGTGGATTGTACTGAAAATGTTAATTAAAGGCATAAAAGATATAAATTTTTCGTTTCCACAGAACTAACTCAACTTTGGCAGCCATTTTCTCGCTAATGTTACCTCTGAAACCAGCTAACCCCCACCTCCTTCAATCGCCAATATTTTGACTTGTATCCAAGATAAATGGATATTGTTTAAATCAAAAGCAAGGCAAATGAACAGGCTTTAAGATGATTATCTCCATATGCGTCAAAATTGACGATGCCTGATCCCACCACGTCGTGACACAAACAATAGGATGAGCCAGCCACTGAATTATAATCTTCCTCCACTAAGTATATTTTACTAACAATAATATACCTGGCACTGAATAAAATTGGTCGCTTTCATTTAAGCACAAGGGGGCTATCCCGAAAAATGCTGTTTTGTGAAAATCGAAGTTGAAATTTTTGTCCCTTGGTCAGTTTCTTTAAAAGACAAGGAGAGTTTTCTATAACCAAACAAATTATATATAATGAAACAAAACTTCTTCTACAGGTAAGGCAATGCCCACTTTTGGTGTACGTCAAAATTTCTGGAAACCCCCGAAATCTGGGTTAGCCCGCTTGTCCTTAAAAGCGACCAATTAACCATGCAATTCTAGACGAGTAGGCCTATGCCACAACAAGTCCCAAGTCAGAAGTGTGAGAAGTTGTCTGTGAGTAACCTACCCCGTGCCCCCAGCTCCCTGGTCAGAGCTGGGATGTAGCTGCATCGTGAGTTCTCCCAGCTTGCTGAAGGCGGACCCAGCAGCTGTGAAGATCTCTCCAACCTTGCACGAGGATGGGATTGGGGGTGTGGAAGGGGGGTGGGGGAGGGGGGAAGGAAGAAGAAGGCTCAAGATATGAAACTTAAATTTCTAAGTCTCCAATAACGTCGTGTTTTACTATCATAGCAGAGGACTGGCCTGGGACTGGGATGGAGGACTTGTTCCTGTTCTCCAGGCCCATACACATTTTTGTTTGGCCGCCTCTATTTCTCTGAACGCTGGGGGAAATAAACTTTCTTGAACTCTAGATCTAGATCTACATTACATCTAGAATCTAGATCTAGATTTAGATCTAGATCTAGATTCTAGATTCTATTTCTCCAAATGGTTTACGTTCTCAGTTCTCGAGATTTGTTGGTTTTCAAGTGGACAAACCCTATTTTCTTTCAGCTTGTGGTATCAGATATATGGCTATAAAACGTTTCAAATTGGGTGACGTTGTCACAGCATGGTCAAGTGCCCATGGACATGGTCATTGACATGGTGATGTTGAGGTAAGACCCTTAGTAAGAGTAAGAGTGTAGCCTACACTGTAGGTTGTTTACATATCGATAATAGCTCTCCTGACTCAAAAAAACTGATCAGTTGCGAAGCCACAGAGCAATACAGCTGCCTACATTTGTATGAATACAAACTATCTATTATACAGGGGGGATTTCATCTTCCATACTTATCAATCAATACCTTTGAAGAAGAACTCATGATAATTCCACAAGTGACGGGACTACTCCAAGCTTTGTCCGCAAATTCAAGCCAACTTTTCGTGGCGGCACGGAAGTTGACATTCAGCAATCAAAAGTAAAAAGATGAACTTCATTCAGGAACACAAGTAAACGAAATAACTGTAAAAAAAAAATAACGAGATTGTTTGAGGACAATGATTATAGTGTTCCCCTTTATCAAGAAGGAATTGTGATAAGGTCCTTGTCCTAATATATCTTGATGTGAGTGTGCATGTGTGTGTGTGTGTGTGTGTGTGTGTGTGTGTGTGTGTGTGTGC